TGTCCATTGCTGGGGGTTGAGTAAGGAAAGTATGGTGGAATATCTTACTGAAGGAAGGAGAAATAAACTAGATGTACACATGGCTGGGAGTAGTGGTGCATGCCTGTAATCTCAGGCTTTGGGAGATTGAGGGAGACTTATGAGTTTGAGGCCAGCTTGGGCTACGAAGTGAGTTCAAAGCCAGCCTGAACTGTGCTGTGAAGTCCTGTCTCAAAAAGACAAAGAAAAGCCCCCAAACCTAGATGTACACACAATACACATGGATCAGAAAATTGCCATGTGAAAAATAGCAAAGTATCTTGTAAATAAAAAGGCTCAAGAAAATTATATATATATGATATGAGATATATGTACCTGAAGAAGAGAAATCAAACACACTTAAATGACTGAAATGTTAGGAAAAGCAAACAGTAAATAAAAATACAAGGAAACAAAGTGAAAGTTGCTATGACCAACACGGGGAGTGTGCTCTACACTGAAAGATTAACTCTGCACTGGAGGCTATGAAATGAGAAGGAAAATAAAAGAAAACATAACAAACGAAAACACTTAAAGAGAATTTTATCTTTAGTGCAGAACCAAAATTCAACAATGTATTACTTATAAAATGGTATCTTGGGCTGGGGATACAGCTCAGTGGCACAGCGTCTGCCTGGTAAGCATGAGGTCCTGAGTTTGAATCCTGGTACCTTCCCCTCCACACCCTCCCGCCCCCCCACAAAATAAAAGAAAGAAAGAAAAGAAAAGAAAGATATGTCAAAGAGATTGGCTCAGCAAAGTTAAAAGTAAAAAAAAATATGTGGCAAAGATATATCAAGGCAAACAGCCCTGAAGGCAAGTGGAAGAGGCTAAATTATATGTCTCTTCTAAGTCTCATAAATCTTTGGAATTAAATATTATGGCAGCAAAGTACTTGACACATGGACCTCAGGAAAGCAAAAGAGAAATAAAGTTAAGCACAATGACAATAACAAATGGCTTCTGTAGACCCAGCAGATCAAGTGAATAAAAAATAAGGAAGTGCATGATTTGATGCACTTCCGATGAGTAAAGAATTCCTAAAAGATAGATATTAAATTCTGGAACTTAGTAACAAAAAAATCCACCATCATTTAAGTACTTGTGGGCCATCTACAAAAACTGACCATATTTTAGATCACAATGTTACAAGTGCAATCAGTTCTGTTTGTTTGTTTTTAGAATTGGAGATTGAAACTAGAGTCTTTGCACTAAACTACATTCATTTGATTTTGAGACAAGTCTTGCTGTGTTGCCCAGGTTAAGACTGAACTTTGATTCCCCCGTGTTGGTTTACCAGGGTGCTGGGATTATAGACATGCATCTCTACACCTGGATCAAAATTATTAAGAGACAAAACAAAACATGGAATTAGGGAAAAATCTTCTGAGGAAGTTAGTTTTAAAAATACCTCTTTAAATCGACTTTGAGTTCAAGTCAAAAAAAAGAACTGAGGGTGGGCATACAGCTTAGTGGCACAGTGCCTGCCTGGCAAGCACAAGGTCCTGCGTTTGATGCTCCGTACTCCATATATCACTTATATTAAGAGTAAAAAATAAGATAATAAAAAGACTACATACACAAAGCTGAGGCTTATAACTAAAATCATTCTCAGAGAAATTGATTAAACACTTGGAAAGAATATCAACAATAAATAATGAAATGTAAAAAAGTGTTGATTTTGAGAATTGAAGAAAATGTCAACACATCCAATTAGGATAAAAGCAGATACTAATGAATTAAACAAAGATTCTCACAATAGAATATATGAATACATTCAAAAGGTTTTTCATGAAAAGTAAATACAGAAGCTACTGAATAACCTCATCAAGAAAGAAGAGGTAATGAAATGTACAGCATTTGAAAGCTCACACCAAATAGAAAATATGCTATCCAATTTTATGAATAGGAATTATCATATTTTATGCACATGAATTTAAAATTTTATTTTATTTAGATAAATAGAATAACAGCCATGAAAAAAAATTGAGACTATTGTTAGGAAGCCACACTTCCAAGCATATCAGGTAAGATATTTCATTTTCACTTTTTTTAATCTTCAAAGAAAAGATAAATTTAGTAGCATTTAATTTTTTTTTTTTTGCTTACAGAGAAAGAAAACTGCTAACATAATAAGAAATCAGTATAGCATTGATATCAAAGCTTTTCAAAGCAGGAATAAAAAGCTACAGATAAATTCTTGCTATGCATCGTTGCAAAAGCCTTATGTAAGATATGATCAAATAGGATTCAGCAGGATATTAATATATATCACACTCGGGTATCATTGCAAGAATTATTCATTATTAGGTGATCTGTTAATACAATTCATCATAGTAAGAGAAAAGGGAACAAAAGCAACCCAGAAGGATGCTTAAAAACTTCAACATCTATTTCTGAGTAGAGAGTAAACAAAATTCTTGCTGATTTATATAGCATGTAATCCTTTGATAACTATACATACTATATAAATTAAACGCAAGCATCATTGTTAACGGTGATACAAAAATACATATCCATTATATCTGTCAATAAAGCAAATATGTCTGTTATCATTAAGAATAATTAACATTGTTCTGGAAAATCTGGCCAATACACTTAAGAAGAGAAAAAGCATGGGCACTACAGATGGGTAGTAGGAAGCAGAATGATGTTATCTGTGGATACTCTACCTTCCTGAAAACTCAAGAGAACTAACTGAGAATTTTAGAAATGTTAAGAGAACTCTGTGAAGCACTTGGATACAAAAATCAATTGGTATGTTAAATGTTGTAAACAGGAACTAAAAATAATCACAATAACAATAATGAAAATGGGGACAGGAGGTTTAAAGTTGGAGAGAGGCAGATAGGTAGGCAGGGGAAGGGAAATAAAAAAGAATTAAGATGTGTTATGTACATGTACCTGCTCCCTAAGATGAACACAAAGTTGCACGCACAGGAACCATGTACTAATAAAGAAATCAGTAGGTGTAACTCACCATTTATCCCGAGTAGTAAAACAAACATCTGAGAAATAGTATGGAATAAAATGCCTCTACAATAATGTCATTGTAAAAGGCTAAAAACAAAATTAATAAGAAATAGGTAAAATTCATAGGAGGACAATTAAAAAGCTGCTGAGAAGGGGCTGGGGATTTAGCTCAGTGGCATAAGCACCTGCCTTGAAAGCAGGCAGTCATGAGTTTGATCCCTGGTACCGATAAAAAAAATGAAAAAGACCAAAAAAAAAAAAAAAGCTGCTGAGAGATCTAAACAAAGACAACATAAATGAAACAATATATCATTCTTGGAAGATAACATGTTATAAAAATATCAATTTCTCCTAAAGCTAACCTCTGATGATAATAAAGTGCTAATACAGTCCCAATTAAAATTCTAAAAAACCTAGCTTTTGAGCTTTACTTACAATGTGAACTAATATATAAAGACCTAGCATGTGAAATATAATTAATAAATTATCCATCAGTATAGATAATCTGAAAAAATGTGTCACTTTTCTTATCATATCCACCCGGATTCAAAACTTAACTATCACTTTCTTTTTGGTTTTTTGAGATAGGATTTCACTCTGTAGCCCAGGCTGGTCTTGAACTAGCAGCCATCCTCCTGCCTCAGCCTCCCAAGTAACAGGATTACAGGTGCGCACAACTACACCCAGTCAATTTCTAAAAGAAACTATCCAGTCAAATATTTTTTGAGTCTTAGTATTAAACAACAAACATTGACGTTTGAGGGCACCTATGATGGGTCACATCATGGAACATATAGCTTCTTCTTTCCATTTCAGTTGCATTCTCAAAACCAATGAGAGTAATTAGAATAAAGGACCTTTTACAAAACTGAAAACACTGAACAGATTTCTCTTTACCATCCAGCATGCTTCTGGCCAATTTAATGTCATTAACTAGGTATATAAATGCAGGGACTTAGTCTCCATTATAACTTAAATCCAGGCCAAAATGATAAGAGCTCTCACTTCTGTACTTTCAAACGTCTGTGAGGATTATATCCTTTCTGGCTTCTCCGAGAGAGGAACGAATCACCTACTGAGGAAAGCTGGGTCAAGCGCTTCGAATGTGAGGGTTTGGCTCTTTATTCTCCTACACAGATGTGTCTGCCCACAGAAGCACACATCCAGTCTGTGGTTGTCTCTGCTGTGAGCAGCTGCTGCAGGGACGGGGGTTGGGCCTTTGTCTCTTGCACTTACAAGGCTATGTGTAAGTGTTGAGTCTGCAGTGGAATACTTGAAAGGCTACTGTGACTGCATGTTTGAGCCATATCCTCCCATTAGTCATGTGTGTTAATAGGGCCGATATGTTCTAAAAAGAAGAAAAGGCCTTTATGAGTTAGGATTTGCTCAATTTTTTGTCTCTCTTTCTTTTGAGACAGGATTTCACTATGTAGTTCAGGGTGGCCTTGAACTCACTATGTAGCCCCGAATAGCCTCAAACATGTAGTGATCCTCCTGTCTCAGCCTACTGAGTGTTAGGATTTCAAGTGTGCACCACTACCCCTGGAAGGACTTGATTTTTTGCAAGGAGAGTTTTAGGGTACAAAACTTTAGTGCACAATTTTTACATTTATTTTAGCATCAAATTCTTTTGACACTAAAAGTGCTTTTCAACAAAGCCTATAGGTACACACAAACATCATTGTATGTATATTTTCTGTACCTATGGAATTTCTGTTAAAATTGTACTGTTATATTTAATAAGTACTATAAATAATGTACAGCGTACAGAATACTAAGTTCAAGTGTTGTACTTATTCATATATACATTTATATATTGATAAAAACTTTGTGGAAGTATCAGAAAAATAGTTACCTTTGAATGTTAGTATTTTGGCTGATTTTTCCTTTCTTTTAGTTCTTATGTAGCATTGTTTTCTAATGTATTTTATATTTATATTTAAGCAAATATTTTAAAAGATTCCTTTTAAAAATACTCTTTCCAACTCACTTAAAAATGAAGCAGAACACCCACAATTTTCCTTTATTTCATCTGTTTTATGTATGTACATTTTTGCCAGATGTAGAACCCATTTCACCTCAGTTCATTCCTTGCTGGCTCCATCTCCAGCTGTTCCAGCCCAAGGAGACACGCCGGGAAGGTGGGGGGAATCCTGCACAAGATGCCTCGGTGGGAGGACAATTTCCCCAGGCCTGTCCTCTTTGAGAGATGCGCTTCGCCTTTAATGCAGCAGGGTGAGACTTTGGTCCTGAAGGTGCTGTCAGAGTCCTGCTGAGGGTGAGTCCTGAGCAAAGTCATCAAGTCCACTGGGAGGTGTGGGGCTGTGGAGGTCAGGGAGGCCTAAAAGAAGAAAATCTGAGGCCTGCTGGCTTCCAGTCTCCAGGTCTTCAGAAAGCACCAGGCTCTAGCACTGCAGAGAAAAATGGAAAAAGGGTAAGGAGAGGGTGATCTGGGGAAGAACTGTCTACACACACTAGGGAGATCCTTCCAGGAGAACTGAGGCCTGCAATGAGGAAGGAGGCCAGCACAGGCCTCAGACTTAGCCCCCACAGGGGTGCCGTTTCAGATCTACCTACCCTCTGTGCTTCTCCTCAGACCTGAGCCTTTTCAAAAGGCCTTTCAGAGTGTGTTGCTTGATTTTGTCCCACCTCAGTGGAAGTTGGACTAGAACTTATCCCACTTCTTTTTGTCAAAAGGACTGAGCTTCAGCTTATACATCTACTATATGGCTGGTGTGACGCGAAGGCAGCTCCCGCTCCCCACAGCCAACAACAAACATCAGGTCCTGTCCAGTGCCCCACACTGCCTCCATCTTCTAAAACAGCCACAGCTATCACAAACTCCTCAAAGCAGGTGTGGGCCCATAGGCCCTAATGATTTTCTTTCTCAGCGAGCGCTTCTGGAAGGCTAGCATGTGCCTGGGCCAAACGCTGGAGGTTTGGAGGGTTCTGTGGAAGTGGGGGCAAAGGCTTCCCCAGCTTTTATGCCATTCAAGGGCTCTGTGGAAACTTTGCAACCTTCAGAGGTCCTAAACTTTCTACAATTACTTCCAGTCTGAAAGAACTTTGTCCTTTATAACGTATGGTCTGACTTCTATGGTGGATTCAGGGTTCTTCCATCACGGTCTCCCCACATCCTCTCCAACTAGAAAGAGGGCTTCCTTTTGTTGAACAGAGTTGTTTAGGAGAGAGCTCAGAAGAGCCCAGTAGGTAATAGAACAATGTACACAGTGTCACTTTGATTATGACCGCTTGAGTTGTATAATTCTGTGGATTAATAATTATTTTCTTGGCATTGTATCTCAATCCACAGCCATGAAAGCACTGATGCTTTGTCTTTTGAGAGGGCGACATCATTTGAACACATAGAAGAGAGCTCTTTATGACCCTGGCCCAACTTAGAATGGATTAATCAGGTTTCCCTGGCCACAGGCCACTGTGGAATGAGTGAGTGGTTCAGAAAGGAGAAAGGGATGGTGGGCACTGTGAGGAAAACTGGAGGCTCGCTGGGTCAAGCCTCTATGCCTCTGCCATACCCACCTTCACACACGGCCCCTGCATCCTCATCATGTCCACAGTCGAAGGCCTCCACCTGCTCACACTCAGCCAGTGCCACCTCTGTGCCGTTGCACAGGGCCACCTGAATGTGCACAGGCAGGGCCTCTTCTGCCACAGGTGGATACAACAAGGCAACTGGTGTGTGCCTGGCTGCTCCACAGCCCAGCTCCCGGCACACCACTGCCACATCCCTTAGGTCCCAGCCATCATCACACACAGTGCCCCAGCGGCCTTCCTGTTCCACCTCCACTCGTCCTTCACAGCGGTGGAGACCATTCATCAGACGCACTTTGCGTGGGGGCCCTGCAAACAGAAAGGGTCAGCACTCTGAGGAATGTGCTTACTCTCCAGCAGCGCCAGTGTAGAAAGAGATTGTCAGGCAGCGGTGGGTTTGTGAGTGATGTGAGGTAGGGGATTGCATAAAGCAGGGAATGATCAAGCTTTGGTTTTGTCTACTTCATTACTATATCCTACAACCATCTCCTCTCATCAGCGGTCCCACTCAGTGACACCTAAGAAAAAAAGCATTGTTTTCAATCTGAAAATGAAGAATAGTGGGGACATATAGACTTGGACTTGGTTTCTCATGGGCTTTTAAAGACAGACAAGAGTTAAGTCTTCTTTCTTGGAATTGGAGACTGAGGCCTAAAAAACTGCTCCATACCTCACTGATGACTGCACCAACCAGTCACCAACTGCGTCTTCTCTGCATAGGGTGGAAAACACACACAGGTTAGTCTCAAATCTTGACCTATTTTCTTTTTTTAAACTGGAGTCATCTGTAGCAAAAAGGACAGATGTAAAGCTAGAGTTGTCAAGGGTCAGACTTGCCAGTCTAAGAAACAAGTTAATGGAGAAATGCAGAGCAAAGAGGGAATAATACAGAGCCTTTGGATCCAGTTCCACATAAAACTCAATCCATTCCCAACTTTTCAACTAACATAACATTTTTTAGCAGGGTACTGGTCAATCAGTATAAGATTTCTCTCATTGGCACCCAAAATGCCTGTATCACTCATCAATTACTAAGATCATGGCAAAGACCTTGAACAAAGGTAGATATGAAATCACAGGTAATAATGAGAATACAATTTAAAAAAATGAATGGATTAAAGAGGGCAAACATATAGAAGACTCTGTAAAGACTGAATAAATAAAAAACCAACTTACTTTAATATAAAGGTGAGTACTAGACTTTGAATGCTCCAAGCAAAAAAATTCATATTCTTTTAAATTTCTATGTACAATATCTATATAAGTTGATTGTCCATTAAACCATCAAGAAATTCTAAGTAATTCTCCCCCAAACATAATTTGACAGGCCACGCTTTTCAATAAATGTTAAACACAAGAATAACAGAGAAATAGCTAAGAAATGATTAAGATATGTGTTAAAAATAAAATCTACTTGTAAGAGATTATAAATGCTGGGCAATTAAAAGAAGTGAAACCTCATATTAAGCATACTTAAGACATTGGATAAAGGCACATTTTATGCATCAACATTCTTAGGAAGAGATATAAGTGGTACTTAGAGGTGAACATACCGTTTTAAGCACATTTGCTGGAAAATATAAAGTTGAAAAATAAATGTTTAAGAAGTTGAAGGAAAAGAATTTAAAATACAAAAGGAGGAAACAAATACTGGAGGTAAAGGGGAAATAATCAGAAACAATCCGAAAAACAAAAATCATCTGAACAAAGAAATTATATAGATGTGAACAATAAAAATAATAAAAATAAAATCTGATTCTGAAAAGAATAATGCAATAGAAAAACTTATGCCAAATCTAACAATTAAACAGTTCACACACAAAAAATATTATAATAAAAAAGCTTCATCACAGATTATAAAGACTACAAATTTGATGAAAATGGTATGTAATAAATTTGAAAATCTAGATAAAATTCAGTATTTTGAATAGAAAAATCTAAATTGTGCTGTAAAAAATTGGAAATTTTGAGGAGATTAACACGAAACATTTGAAAAGATAGGTAAAATTTTACCAGGCTTCTAAAATTATTTTGGTTAGTTTCCGAAGACTGCAAGTGGCAGATAATTCCAATATTGTTTTATGTTGCTGCAGAAAGGATAGAAACTCTTGAAATCATTCTTATGAGTCTGACTTATCCATGAAAAACAAAAACAAAAACAAAAGCAAAAAAGCTCCCTATTTATAAATAGGATGCAAGGAGAACAAGGGTATATCTCAGTCACAGAGAACTTATTTAGTATGTGTGAAGTCTGCTTTCAATCCTCAGCACCAAGGAAACAAACAAGGTGTAAAAATTTCAAGTAAAATATTAGTAAGTTGTATATACTTACAATCTATGCTGAATAAAAAGGGTTTATAGGAGGACTATCTATTAATATAATTATCTATTAATAAAAGATTTAAGGAAAAATATCATGAAGACCAAAGTTTCTTTGATTCTGGTAGTCCTGGTCTAAAATTCCATTTTTGTATCTATTCATTGTATTCCTATTAAATAACCTTGGACAAGTTACTTACATCTAAATTCCATTATCGCATTTATAAAAAGAGAACTGATGTGGAGATTAAATGAAATAATCCTAGTAAAAATCTAAATCCCATAATCTGTTTTGTCCATGGATTTTCTGCTTTTTCCTTAAGTATCTTTAAGGATTACTTGTGTCTCATTTACTACGAGCTCTGAGTATGCAAAATCCTTTCTAACTTTTCCTTAGGTTTGTCTACCTTTTCTCTTTTTGCCTTACACTGACCTGATATTGTCACAATGTCCTACAAAGTATTTCACACATACTTGATTATTTAAGTGAAAATAAACAGAAGGGAAAGCATTAGGCAAGTGATACTATTCTTAAGAACATGCCACTGTGGTGGTGTCCACCTATAACTCCGGCACTTAAGAGGCTGAGGCAGAAGGATTATTGTGAATTTGAGTCTAGCCTGGGCTACAAAGTGAGTTCAAATCCAGCCTAAGCTTCATAGCAAAATCCTGTCTCCAAACAAACAAACAAAAATCAGGTGGAAGCTAGGTGTGGTGGCATACATGTGTAATTCCAGCATTCTAGAGAGCTGACATAAAAGGAAAGCAAGTTGAAACACAACCAGGCAATTGGGTAATTTAGCAAGACCCTGTCTTTAAAAACAAAAGGTCTGGAGATGTGTGCAAACACTGTGGGTTCAATCCCCAGTACTTCCAAATGAATGAATGAATGAATAAATAAATAAATAAATAAATAAATAAATAAATAAATAAATGAAATAAATAAGTAGAGCACCCGGGGGAGCTGATAGGCTCTTTAGTAGACCTCTCATATCTTGAGGGACAGGAAAATCCAGTGAAAAGGAAGCACAAACCATTACTTGGTATAACCATAACTGGTTTTCTGGATATTGACATTTAGCATGCCCTACCTGCAACGTTAACCGTTACCACCTTACTGGGGCTGGGTCCCCAGCCATTGTCAGCTTCACAGGAGTAGTTCCCTGAATGATTTGCTGCCACGGAGAAGTTGAAGGATCCTCCTCCTCCAAAAGGTGCTGAGATATTCCCCAGGATGACGTCTTCATGATAAAACCGGTACAAAATTGGGGGAGAAGCTCTCCAGTCTTCACAGTGGAGCTCCACCACATCACCAATAAAGGCCAGGGCCCCAGGAGGACTAATGGTGAGAAGGGGACTTGAGGCTGGAACTGACAGAGGCAGCAGGGTCCATCAGAGAGGGTGCCACAGCTCACAGCCCACCTACCTTTCTTAAGGATCCTCTTTATACTCATGTGCCCCTTGGATTCTTTGCTACAGTTGTACCTCTTGATGTGATCCTGCAGAGATACCTCTAGCACAGCTCTGCCCACCATGTAGCCTGCTTCCTATTCTACTTTACCCCTCATTGAGTTCCTTGTCCACTGCTGCCACTACTACCATCACTGTCCCAGCAACAACCTTGCCTTGTTCAAATGGCTTCTTGCCCTCTATAGGCTCTGTACCTTGACACCTCTCAGAGATTCCTCATTGCTCCAGAAGGAAGCTAAGCTCCACTGGGAATGGCTGGCTGGCTGACTGAGATAGTGCTACTCACTTCTCACGGTGATGTTCACTGTCTTGCTCTGAATGGGGCCGTAGCTGTTGTTAGCTGTACAGTAGTATCCTCCGGCATGGCTTTCCTGGACCACCGGGATCTGCAGCTCTGCTCTCTGGGATGGCTGACTTTTTGCCCCCAGATTCTCTTTTGTGTCCTCTCTGTACCAGGAGAATGTGATGTTCCCTGTGCCTTCAGCCACGGAGCAGACAAGGGTCAGCTGTTTCCCCACAACTGCTTGGTTTCCCGGGGGATAGGTCTCCATGGAGACTTGAGACACACGGATCCCTGCATGAACAAGAGACAGGCAATGAGGGCCAGGTGTGGGGAAGGGAGGGAAAGGAAAATGGACAGATTGAGCATTATGGCATATGGGTTGCTCAAACTGAATGTTTAGGCAGAGGAGAGTCCACTCACTCTATTACAGGACTACCCTGTAATGTATCCTTCAGTAACAATCCTGCCCTGCGCGTACCCTACATTCTTTAGCCCTCTGCAATGACTGCAGCTGTAGTGATCTCCTGGTATTGGGGGCAGTAGGAGCAGCAGGAAGGGCACAGACTAGACAGTTGGTCCACCTGAGTTACACCTCAGCTCTGCAACTACTTCTCTGTGTGATCCTCAGTTTTCTGAAACATAACATATATACAATCATACTAACCCCATGGAGTTCTCCTAAAGATTAAGTGAGACACAGACAAAAAGTACCTTCCACATGGAAGCTGTTAAGCGACACCGATTATCAGTATCACTCCCCACCAGTATGGTTGGGTAGGAAAGACTGCAAAGTAGCTAAAAGCCACACAGTGGAGCCACAGAGCTGAGTTCAAACTCCAGCTCCACATGCTGTGTTATTTAAGGCAAGTTTCTTCATATTTCCCTGCCTTCAGTTTTCCCATCTGTAAAATGGGAAATGTAACAGTGCCTGCTTTGTAGGTCCTATTATTCACAATACTATTTCTTAGAGCTTCTGTGACAATCAAATATTAAACTTCTCTGAGTGGCACCACCTATGTGGTAAATGCCCATGGATCTTCTCTTCAGACATTTATGATCATCAGAGGGTTTTTTTCTAGAACTGAGCACAACAGCCAAAGTTCAAGTCCTGGCATACGTTAAGCCACATAGTACATACCATGGATTGTTACTGTCATTTCTATAATTATTTTTACTACAGTCCTTCCTTGCTCAACCTGGGTCAAATATGTCTCACAGTTGGTGATCATTTCTTGCAGACAGAAACCATGATTTATTTATTTTTTGGTTTGCAGAGCATACCTCAGCACTAATTGTATGGTAAATGCTCCAGAGAGATATATTGTTTCTTTCCAGACAGGGTGAACGAAGATATTTGAAAGTGATACCTCTGAAGAAATTAATAGCAAAGAACCCAGGTGAGGCACAGTAGCCCCCACACTCACAGGGAACAGAAAGCACAATTGAAAAGCGAGCCCCACAATTTAGCTGGTGCCCTACTCCAGCCCTGGCAGCCTAGCCCATTGATGCTCACTCTGCACGCTTATGTGAGATTTGCTACTCTGCTTCGAGACACTGTTGGATAATGTCTTCGCCTCACACCAGTAGTATCCTGAGTCTTCTTTGCTTAATGCTGAGATCTCAAACTTTGGTGACCACTCTCTCCAACCTAGTTTGTTGTAGTCTCTGCTGAAGTCGTAGCGAAGAGAGATCCATGACCTATCTGCAGGGAGCGTGGTATCACAGGATAGGGTCATTGAGCTTCCCTCTGTAGGTAAAAAGGTGCTGAATGTCAGCGTAGGCACTGGAAACAGCTCTAAGGGGAAGGTGAAACAGAAACCTCCTGTTAGTGATAGACTGAGCCATTTCTGATGCGAAGTGGCCCAGGTGAGCAAGACACACAGACCCAGACTCAGGGACATACAGCCAGCCTACCTACCCTCCTTCCCTGGGTCTCTGCCCTTCGGCGCTCCTACAAAAGTCTTACTCCTTCCCAGATTCATCCACTGGAAGAATGAGACCCTCACCTTGGACATGGAGCCATACAGATTTTGTTTCTTCAGGTTTATTTAGAATCCAGAGAACGTTCCTATTTGCTTTACAATAATATGAGCCACTGTCACTGGTTCTTGCATTGGAAATGATGTAATTCGAGGCACCGGAGTAAGCAGATAGTTGATATCCATCCTTGTAGTACACTAGATTCATTATTTCACCATTGTTATACGCAGAGCACCTTATGGTCACTTCGTCTCCTTCATAGGCCCTCTGTGGCATACTGATGCTCAGCCAGTCTGCAAAAGAAGCAAAGAAAACTTGCAAGGGCAGTGCTGCTCCCTGCCAGGGGGCCCTGACTCTGTGCTTGAAGGGAATGATAGTGCCTTTCATGTGAGCTGAGGAGCTGGGCACCCAGTCACCTTTGGATTTGTGGGCTCTGGAAGCACAGGTGAGTTTCACTGCCTTTGGTTGCATTTTTGTTCTCTAAATCTCCTTTTTATGTCTGTTAGCAGGTTTTGATGCCATTATGTGTGACTGCCAGCAGCTGGACTAAATATGGATCTAAGATGATTCCACGCGGCTTTCCTCACATCCATTCAAAGTCCTATGTCCTCATGGAACCCACGATTAACTTTCTGCATATCTCATTCATTATAGACCCTGTTTGTCTGATGGCACAAGCAACTGAAAGACCTTCTGTTAGTTCTCCTTAGGTAAAATAAACTGGGCCCTGGGATCTACACCTTTGGTCTCTAGAGTCCTCCTTTTTCAGTGGCTTCTGCTAATCATTTCTGTGCAATGACCTGGATGATCCCCATGGAAAACGAAGTGGGTGCACTGCTTCTTTGGATCCATAATTCCCCTTGAAGGGTCATAATCATCAGAGAACTGATGAGAGGCTTGTGTTTCGAATTTGCCCTCAGCAGAGAATGAAGACACAACAGCACAGGGAGAAGCTATAGGCTGAACCCTGCAGAAGGAAAGGAAACCCAGCCACCATGCCACTCTGTGACCCAACCCTGCAGCTGGGACTTTCTGAAGAACATTTCAGCTGGTAACAGAGCTACAAATACAGGTTCAAATGTCAATTTGTAATGATAGAGCATCGGACTAAATTGCAGGAAAATTGTTTTTCTGATTAAAAACAGCAATAACAATACAACCCCAGGACTGCACACTGGGCATTCCCCTTCACTGTAGAGACAGAGGAGCAGTGCAGGGAGGATACACAGAATCTAGATTATTGTTCGGGTCATCTTCCCAGCATATTCCTCTAACGAAGAGTTTATGGGCTAAAGGCAGTTCTTAATGCCTGCCTCAGAAGAGAAATCATGTTTTTGAAATATGGCCTAGGTTCACAGTCCCCAGAATAGGATCCATAAGGAAGCAGGGGAAAAGCACTTTAAATATCCACAGTGTCTTAAACTTTTTTTCATCTTAAATTTTCTATTTTTGTGTATATTCTACCATGTTCCCAATATTTCAATGTAGGATTTATGTAATGTATTGAAGATACATGATCATCAAGTGATCAGATAAAGTCAAAGCCAACTTCTGTCATTTTTTTGTCACTTTGAAAATTCCACCCTCATAGTATGAACTGGGGATAGGTAGAGGACACAAAGATTGATAAAGTGAGCAAGATGTTGGAGGCTAAATGTTTTCTTCCTACATGGTGAGGTAGGATGAGATTTTCAGATTATAGTGTTGCAGGCAGTTTGGTAAAAGAATATTTGAGGAATAAGTCTTATGTGATCAAGCTGATAATAATGACAGAGCTAGAGATAAAGGGAGAATGCGGACCCAGATTTTATGGAGTCCAAAAAACTATTCAACTGTAAGATACCTGAGTTTGTGGTCTTTAACTTTTGATATAGATCCATTCTCTACAAGTTTGCACAATGGTTCATATGTATACATTTTATAATAATTTCAGACTTTGCCAAGTCCCATGAAGCTTTATAGAGAACCACATCTAGACAACTGAAGAGCAATTCTGCTTAAAATTATAAGCTTAGGTGTATAAACATTACTAGCTTTTCTTTTTATAGAATGAATGTGTTCTCAAAGGCATGCTTTCAGAAGAAAATGTAGCTTTTCAGTCTACTTTGAAATCAAACTTTGTTTTTTGTTTCATTATACTAAAATTCTAATTAAGAAAAAAGAACAATAAGTTAAGAACTGGATAGTTTATAGGTAAAAGATTCAGGGACATTCTTGTTCTATGTAGAACATCTTCCTAGTCTCTTGTTGCTTGATTTTATATTTCAGTTTTCTACCCATTTCCAGTGCTTCTGGTGAAGCCTTTGAGCACCTGTGGCCAGAACCAGGAGGGTATATTACCAAAAACATAGTTTATAGTTTGCTTTACCTTTAGTTTTCTTTTTTCCTGTTGTAGTGCTGAACAATAAAAGGTGGATAATTGTTGCCTTGAGAAGGTCAGGGCATGGTACTACTCTTGCTTATTAAGCAGGCAGGTGGCAGAGCAGAGATGAATGTGACATTGGAGAAGCCATGCCATTGTGGGACATGGGTAATGAGAGCAGGCACAGAATCCTAGCTCCCTTTACTCCTAAAATGTGTAGGGGCTGAGAAGGCTGTACTTCCCATGACTGCAGAGATCTAAAAAGAAGAAAAGAGTAACTCACCAGACTGGACACCCACAGGAGCTGAGGGAATAGAGTGGAAGAGATTATCACAGAGAGGTCCAGGATCTTTATTATTTATAAAGCTACAACTCTTTGAAAACTTCCCAACATTTTTTTTACTTCTCCTTATTGTTTCTTCTGCTCCCCTTCCCTTCTTGTAGATTCTTATTCCTTCATTTCCTCTATTTCTTTCTCTCTCTTTCCATTCATCTTCTCTTCTTTCCCTTGCTTTCCTCCCAGACAATACTCCTATGGAGCCCAGCATTCATGTTATCCTCTCAAACAGTTTATAGGGAGTCTTTGCATATTACTAGAAGTTTGTCATTTTGCAGGTAAGTTCTTAGAAATTTCACCATTAATTGCCTCCTGTTTTACTTAATTTTTAAAAGTTTCCTATTGTATGTGAGATATATTGCCTAGAGTCACACAAATACCAGGAATGGTCACAAAAGAGTGAATTGTCATGTTTCAGAGACACTGCTTCTCTCTCCTTCCCAATCTTAGACCTAATGTTGTGCTTGGCTCCATGTAAGAGAGTCATATTTATGAGCAAAAATAATCTCATCTATGGCAAGCAAAGCTTGAAGCCCATGCAGTATCTAAGTCTAGGGAGATGTGAATGCAGCCAACAATGAGGTGACTGGAGTGAATGTGGAGTTGGAGTGGAATTCATTTGGGCTGGAAATGGAATCCACCTTAACATAAAATTCCTTCTATTTCCTTTTATAGGTGGTTTTCATTGTTCTATAGGTCAAAGTAAAAATAGCAAAGAGAATTCCTCAGAGTCTGGTAAAGAGATGCACAGATCTTTGCTTTTCCTGAGAACCTTATTCTGCTCAACTTGCATAAACCTGAGGGCACTGAGTTAAAAGCTGGAATCAGTCCTTACTCATCCCAGAGATTTGTGCTCAATTAGAGCTTCTGGGATGCTCAGCAAGGTAATTCTTCCCTGGCTCCTCCCCAGTCCTGCTCCAGTGTCCTACTCACCAAGGACCAGTAGCAGTGAGTACAGCAGCATGAGGCTGAGCACAAGAAGTTATTCCAGGAGCAGTCAGGTGCAGCTCAGGTCCTTAGAGCAACTGCCTATCCATATGGAGTACGAAGCTGATATGGGCACTGTGGTTTAGCAGTTTCATTGAAATAGAAACAAAGGAAATAGAAAAGGTCTCTACCAATCAGCATTCTTCATACCCAGCCTCACGAGTGCTGAGAAAGTAAATGTTCTTCCCCTTTAAGAGTTGCTGAGATGTGTATTGATCAGAAATGCTCCTTAAAATGTTAGATATCTTCATACTATTGATAAGATTTCTACTTTATTTGATCTTGCAGAGTACGCCAAGTTCTGGGCTTGCCAAAATTCAAATCACTTGCTTGATCTTTTTCAAGGACAAGTCTTTACTATTTGATATGATTTAGCTCTAGAGTGTCTCCCCAAAGACTCTTGGATTCAGAGGTGAGGCTTTCAAAAAGCAATTCGATCATGAGGGCACTAATCTCATCAATGGATCAACCCATTGATGAGTTCACACCTGACTGGGATTCCCTAATAGGAGGCAAGACCCAGTTGGAAGAAGGAGATCACCAGGTTTGCCTTTGAAAGGTACATCTTTCATCTGTCTCTCCTTCTCTGTTTTCTAGATGCTCTGAGGTTAGCAGTTTTCCTTTACCATGCCATTTGTTTACGACGTGTCTACCTTAGAACCTGCTGATCATGGAGTGAAATCTCTGAAATTGTGAAACAAAAAATCTTTTCCTCAAGTAGTATATGTCAGGTATTTTGCCCCAGCAATGCAAAACTGACTAATGCATGACTAAAGATGTGTTATTTGTCATGCAGTTCCCAACACCATATTAATGCTGCTCTGTAGCAATCCATCCAGACTTTAGGAAGAGAAAGACAGGAATTTTTTAGAAATGATGGTATTAGGATGATACTAGATGGTATTATATATGGGCCAGAAAAAACACAAATTCTCTCAGCTCAAGTAATATTTGAATACATCCAAGAAGGAAGAAGCAGTATGAATGTCCTATGGTATTTGAAGGTAAGTGTAGCACTGAATTACAGTACAGTGGTCTGAAAGATGTTAACACATACAGGAGATAAAGGAGGAACAATTGTTACAAAAGTTCAATGGGAACTGGAGTCACAGAGAGGAAGCTGCCAGGTGGGACTGGGATTGTGGAGGACACAGCTATTGCCTAAGATTATTTGATAAACTGAGAGGCAGGAGAAGAAATCCCCTGATTCTCTTACTGCTGGCTGAACCCTGTGGGTTCTTCTCATGAATGGAACCCAGCTGTGAGCCAGAGAGGTGGCTGATACAGTGTGGTGGATTGATAACTAGTGTGTCAACTTGAAATACTAGCTGAATTGAATCAATATGGTACTGAGTGTGGATGGCCACCTGAGGATTGTTGCCAACATAAAAAACAGAACTAGAAAGGAAGAAAGTGTTGGTTCTCATAGGTGTTGTTGGTTCTCCTTGTTGTTGTTATTTCTCCTGTTGCCATCAGCTCTGCTGGAGGAGCCTGTCGAGTTTCTTTCCTGATATGAGCTTGGCTGTTCTCATCATTGGGACCTTGTTAACTCTGAGAGTGGTTGCAGTTCACTTTGGGGAAGCTCTGGTCTTTACTGCTTTCTGACTCCAGAGGGGAAGGTGGTGTGCTGTTCAATTTCCAGGAGAAGCTTGGTCACACTGGCTTCCAGATATGAACTTCGCTATTCTCATCATTGGAGGAGCTTGGGACCTTATTGTCACTGAGGATGACTATGGTACTTTTTGGGGAGTCCTGCCCCTTACTTTGAGCATGCTTCCACTGTGGAACCCTCAGCTTTCTGGCACAGATCCTTCATCCTGCTAGCACAGACTTTCTGCTTCCATTGCTGACCTTTGGGCCTTCCCACTGAAGATCCATAAAACAAACTTGCATCAGTCATTGTTATGGGCTCTAGGCCTCCAGTTGGATTCATAAGGGGCACTGTAATGAGCTCTAGGTCTTCAGCGGGACCCATGCAAGACTATGCAAGACCCATGCAAGACCATGGTATCCAGGCTCTCAGTTGGATTCTTTGATTCTTAATGTGTGGACAGATTTCCTGCACTTCTTGTGTTTGACTCTTTGGATGACTTATAAAATAATTGTATAAACTATGTATCCTGGGTTAAATTGTTTTCCATGCAAACCCTGACAATAACACATAGGCTTAAGCATCAGACTCTCAGGGCACAGAGAAGCAGAGAAGATCAGAGAGCATTTGGAGAGGGGGTGGGATGTGATGTTCAGGCAGAGAATAACTAACACAGTCATTAATTGGGGAAAGGGGGATGTTCCTGGCAAAAGTCTTTTTTCCCTCATGCGAGCATCTGCCTGTCCTCAATGAGGTCATCCATGTGTGTAGTGCTGAGGTGAAGTTAAGTTGCTCAGGCCAAGCCAAGCCCAATGACTTGATCCTTAGTCAACTGCATGAAGGGCAAATACTGACCTAAGAGTAAATTCCAAATTCACACTTTTAATTAACGATTTCTGACTTAAGTGCTCTTTAGCTTCTTTTTAGTTGTATGATACAACAAGTCATTCTCCCTGAGTCATTCTATCCTGGAATAAAGACATGAGTGTAAAAGTTGAAACAAATCAGAGCTTGTTACGCTACCATGTATTGCTCTCTGCCACTGTGTTCACGTGTGAGGTCTGGGGAAGGTGAGGCTGTGGGTGCAGAATCCAGGCCAGCCTTGCTGCAGGTATGGAGAGAGTGGAAAGAATTCACACTGACACACGTTGGTATTGTAATACTTTTGGTGTTTTATGCTCAAGAACAGTGGAAAGCAGAGATGGAAGTGGTGTAAGTCAAAGCAATGTTTGGCAAAACAAGATGATGTGTGTGGCAGCAGGACAAGTAAAGTGATGTCATTGGATACAGCATTCCAAACCCTCAAAGGTCTTAGTTGTATGACATGACCCTGTCCTGCAATGGATGGGCTGTAAATTTAGAGACTTAAAAAAACGCTTCTTCATTATTACACAGTCCTTTGAGATCTTGCTATAATATAGGTACACTTTATACTCACAAATACATATACAAAGGTAATGGATTTTTAAAGATAACTTTCAGAAGTGATCCAGGGATATCAGATTAAGAGCTCCTACTGTGGTGCTGTGTAACAGCAAAGGTCAGGAAGAATAGAGATGGTTAATTATATTTTCAAAGGACAGACTCCTGCAAAACACAACTTATTAATGGATGATTAAAGCTGCCTCTTCAATTTAGGAGGTTGAGGAAAAAGGTAGGCAAATCTGAACCCAGTGTTGGTAACATAGTAACTTAAAAAAAATTTTTTTTTACATCCATTCCTCAGTCGATGGGCATTTAAGTTATTTCCAAGATCTGGCTATTATAAACTGTGCTGCTATAAACATGGTGCACATATATCACTGCGGTATGATGTTTTTAATTCTTTTGGAAAGATAACCAGAAGGGGAATAGCTGGGTTGAATGGTATCTCCAGTCCTAGTGGAACTTAGTTATTTAATAAGACCCTGTTTAAAAAAAAGGGGAGAGGGGGTGGGGGATGTAGCTCAGTGAGAAAGGTATATCCTTTCATGGGTTTAACTCCCAGCTTGGTAAAACCAAACCAAACCAAATCAAATCAAACCAAACCAAACCAAATCAAAGCCCTGGATTTTATCTACTAACTACACTAGGATTTTAAGCCATGGGGGAAAATGTGGTCTGTTTTTGCCAATTCTTTAATCGAACAAGAAAAAAATAGAATTTCAGACTTCAGTGCTGCCAGCCATGGTTCTTGCTCTCCAGAGTATCCACCATACCATCTGGAGATGACAATCAGCTTGGGACAAAAGAGAGGATTTTGGAACATCTGTTCTGTTGAAAATGGGTTTTTATCTTTCTCTAGCTCCTTATGTAGATGCAGATGTTTTGTCTTCCAATGATCTTTGGGCTTTCCCCAGTTGGATGAAATGTCACTTACCCAGGAGGATAAGCAAATGTCAGGGGTAGAGATTCATATGGCCTTTTAGCAGCCCTGATTTGGGAAAGCAGAAAAAGTCATCCTCACAGTCTTCAGTAGAAGGAAATGGGCAGGCAATGGCCACGCTACAGTTATTTGACAGCTTTCTGTCTTACGCAACTAAGTACCCAGTGCTTTAAGAGAACAAAGAAAAAGGAACTCATGTAATATATTTGAATGAAGAAATCTGCAACTAGCTGTTTCTTTTCCTTCCTTCCTTCCTTTTCTTTTCCCTTCCCTCTCCACTTTCTTTTTGCATTGGGGATTAAACCCAGGTTTTGTACATGCAAAACTTTGCTCTGTCATCACTGTGTTTCCCCCTAGTCACAGTGGAGCATTTAATCACGCTGGTCCAGATTCATGTGAAATAAAAACAAGGTCAACTCAAGCAGGACAAAAATCATCCATCTCTCTGGATCAGTAGGATCATGAGCAAATGTTGGAATCATGGCTTTAGAAAGCTAGGTAATGTAGCATAGCAAACTGGCTTACTAAGATTTTCACTGTTCTCTGGATTTAAAATCCACCACAAGACCCAAATTTAGGTTTTCTGGGAATTAAATAATGAAGTTTACTTGGACTCAGGCTCCATTCTGGAGTTTTTGGAATCCTGTGAAGACATTTTCAAAGGAAAGAAAGAGTCGTACAACATTCAAAATGCTGACTGACCCAAGAGACAGGGTCAACGAAAAGCCTCAGATTTCTGAGTAAAGAAAATAGGGCTTTCCCCAAGATGGAGCTAAATTTTGCTTTGGGATTGGCAGAAACTTGAGCTGACACATTACTAGAATTTGCATTGCCCAATTAAATATGAAGAACAATTATGTTCTGAGAAAATGATCTGGATATTAGGAGGAGAGAGAAGGAGGGAGATAAATTGGGGACCTTAGTACTCCAAAAATGACATAGTGGAAGTTTCCTGGGTTTTCTTTTGCCTTGTACACCCTAGACTTGGAGCTGGGTTTAGTTGCACATGCCTGTAATCCTGACTATTCAAGTATGCTAAGGCAGGAGGATCCTTAAAAGTCCTGTCTGGTCAACTTTATGAAATTCTGTCTCATGAATAAATAAATAAATAAATAAATAAATAAATAAATAAATACTG